TATATCAATATTTTCTCTTCTTCTGAGTATATAATATGGAAGAAGAGGACAAAAACCTCTTCCCGGATTAAGTGGCGTTTCAACAGAGGAGAATCTTTACTAAGAGTTTCCAACTTGATAACTAGTGTTGATGAAATTGTACCAAGGCTAGAGGGTGGAGCTTCTGCAATATCGACGTAACCACAGGATGAATCATTTCTACCCAAGGGACTGGAGTGTGGTGAGTTTTAAGGTGATTTTTAACTAAAACAGAGGGATAGTTAGTCATCTCCCAGGGTTTCGGTGCCAAGTCAGGATAAAAAGTGCCCTCTCTCCCCCAAGCAAGTCTTTTAAATTTTTGGCCTTATTAGGAATCAAGTCACAGTGATATTCTCCAGCTTTTTCTCAATTTAATGCCGGTAGTCACAGCCTAACCAACATCTTTATGTTCCACTCTAAAATTTAAAGAGCACGTTCTCCACACTGAACATCCCATCATTTGCCTATCAAGCCACTGCCATTTCCCAAAACAAAAGAGGACAGAAATCAAACTGAAAAGGTGTATAAAACAAACATTAAAAAAAAAAAAAAAAAGGCAGACAAAAGACCAGAACCTGATGATGTGTTTGATGAGAAGGTAACGATGGAGGGGTAAAAGGTACTTTCTGGGTATGAGCTCAGGGACTGGGATAAAAGGGCAGAAAATGGCGCTGAAAGAGAAGAAAGCCCGGAACTGACTCTGCTCCTAAGCAACAGGATGGATGTAGATGAATCACTGACGCGTCTCTGTCCTCATCTGTTCCCCCAGGGTTACATCAGATGACAGGCAAGGTCCCCAGAAGCTCTACTATTGAATGATTCTAGACATCGAGATTTATCTAACATGGCCAAAATTTCATGGGTGTATAATACCAAGAGGCAGCACGGTCTTTGGTGTTTGTCTGACCTCGAATCTGAATCACCACTTATAAGCTGTGAAGCATTAAATAAGACCCTTTCTGGCCTATGCTTTCTCAAATATAAAGTAAGATAAATACAATCTCATGCACAGAGTTGCATTGAAGCTGAAATGAGGAGTGCCTATCACATCATAGTGCCCAACTCAAAATTAGTGGGTACCCTACCTCCCTCTTTCCTGAGTTAAAGTAGCAGGAAGCCCTAGTGAATTATTCTTTCCTGAAGAAAGGGAAAAAATAATTTGTAATTGCATAACTGTATGAAAATATTACTTAAATGACTTCTTTACCACAGCTTCCACCAGTTTATGATAAATTTCATGTGTGAAACCTTTCTTCTTTTAGCTTATTCAGCACCTACTATGGGCTACTCCTTGTTCTAAGCAAAAGGGATACAGTAGAGAACAGCACAAGTCAGGTCCCTGCCCTCCGGAAACTTATACTCTGGTAGATATCTTCTAGAACAGTTTTTAGAAATAATGTTCTAGAGAGTACAGGCAGTAATTTCTCTTGACATCAGTCATAACATTTTTCTAGATGTGTCTCCTGAGGCAATGAAAACAAAAGTGAAAATAAATTACTGGGACTTCACCAAGATAAAAAGATTCTGCACAGTAAGGGAATCAATGAAACTAAAACAACTTACTGAATGGCGGAAGAAATTTTAAAATGACATATCCCATGAAGGGTTAGTATCCAAATATATAAAGAACTTATACAACTGAGTGCCCAAAACCCAAATTATCCATAAAAAATGAGAAGACATGAACAGACAGTTCTCCAAAGAAGACATCCAGATGACCAACAGACACATGAAAAGATGGGCAACATCACTCACCATCAGGAAATGCAAATCAAAACCACAATGAGGTATCACCTCACACCTGACAGAATGGTTAAAATCGAAACCACAAGAAACAAGTAGTGTTGGTGACGATGTGGAAAAAAAGGAGCCCTCACACACTGTTGGTGGGAATGCAAACTGGGACAGCCACTCGGGAAAACAGTATGGAGTTTCTTCAAAAAGTTAAAAGCAGAACTACCCCAAGATTCAGTAATTGCAATACCAGGTAATTACCCCAAAAAATACAAAAACACTAATTCAAAAGCACAGGTACACCCCATGTTGACTGCAGCCTGATTTACAATAGCCAAATTATGGAAGCAGCCCAAGTGTCCATCGACTGATGAGTGGAGGAAGAAGATGTGGTATAGATACACAATGGAATATTATTCAGCTATAAAAAAGAACAAAACCTTGCCATTTGCAAGGATGCACATGGATATAGAGTACAATGCTAAGCAAATAAGTCAGAGAAAGACAAATACCATAGGGTTTCACCCATATGTGCAATTTAAGAAACGAAACAAAGGGAAGAAAAAGAGGCAAACCAAGAAACAGACTCTTGACTATAGAAAACAAACTGGTTACCAGAGGGGAGGGGAGGGAGGAACGGGGGAAGGGGATTAAGAGCACACTTGTTGTGATGAGTACCGAAGCATATACAGAATTGCTAAATCACTAGATTATTTTCCAGAAACTAATAGAACTCTGTATGTTAACTACACTGGAATTAAAATTTAAAAAAAGAAGAGTCACGCTCTAGAAAGTGTCTTCCATTTGGGAGCCACCTTTGCACACCGTGGTGGGCTTTACCTAGTGCTGTGAAATAGAGAACTCACTCAGGCTAATCCCATGTTTAATTCATTATATATCTTCATTTTTGATATAGAAACAAAGGACAGAATGTTTATCTACTTGATATGTTTTTAACCGCCATTTTTCAAGGTGAAAGCCTGAGCCGAACTTACAACCTTCATTACGTATCACCAGATGAGAAAAATGTAAAAAGGTCAATTATCCACTGGTCCAAGTCCAAAGAAGAAGGGGTCTTTCTGAATCATGTCCCCACTTCGTTCTATTTATTCCAAACTCTGCAATGATTTCTGTATCCACCCAGCCCTACCACCACCCACTGCCTAGTCCCTCTCTCATTCTTTCCTCCTCATTCATTAGGCTGCAGTTTCTCTCACCCACTGGAGAGAACCAGAATGGACTGTGGACTTATGTGTACATGCATGCGTATATGCACGTGTGAGTGTGTCTAGTCTCTGTGAGTTTCCTACTAGCATAGTAATTCTTGACTCTGGCTGATACTGAAAACTTTTAAGGAACATCTTAATTTTCAAAGCAATTTTGAGATAGTTGGTCTGGGTTATGGCCTGGAAACTGGGATTTTTACAAGTTCTCATAGGAAGTTCTAATGTGCAACCCAGGTTGAGAACCACAATGGTCGAGCATGGGGACTTCTTTAATTCCTTTTCTTTTCCATGCTCAATTTATGCTGAATATTTTGGTTCTCTAACTGCCTTAAAAATAAATTAATTTGAAAACTGTGTATCTCTGAGTTCTTCCAGTTTTGGAAATGTGTCACTGGATAGACATGGCTGCTAATTTTCATTAGATCTGAGCAGTTGTTTCCAGACAAGTAATACTTATAAAGCAGGCACACACACTCATATACTGACCCCAGTCCCACTTCTTACCTTCCAAACACACACCGGAACCGGCACATTTCCATGATCTGGAAAGGGCAGCCTGAATCCTAGACGTGCCATCGGCAGGTGTGGCCTGCATCTGGCCACCCTACCACTGGGGGCAACCGTGTCCAATCCACCAGAGATGGAAGCGCTAGGTCTGTGAAGTTAGACCTTTCTGATGATCAGTAACAAGCCAGCCAATCCTCCTAATTCCTGGAGGATTTTTTTTTTCCTATTTTCATTTCCCGTGGGCTTCACGTTCAGTTCTTCTGAGTTTCTCCTTATATTTAATCTAGCCAGTATGAGTTTTAGAGCACAAATATAAGCACAAACCAGGGAGATATTTTAGAATTCCTGAGACCTGCCATATTATTTGCAAGAGCTGCCTTACCCTGTACCACAGAGTGGATGGCTTCAACAAGAGAAATGTATTTTCTCAGAGTTCTAGAGGCTAGAAGTTTAAGATCAATTGTCAGCAACTGATTTATTCTGAGGTGTGTCCCCTTGGCTTGTAGACGGCCATCTTCTCGCTATGTCTTCACATGGTCTTCCCTCCACATGTATCTGTGTCCTAATCTCCTTTCTTCACATGCCAGTCAGATTGGACTGGGGCCCACTCATATGACTTCATTCCACTTTAATGACCTCTTTAAAAGTCTTATCTCCAAACACAGTCACATTCTAAGGTACTGAGGGTTAGACCTCGAACATGTGAATGGGGAGCGGGGGGAAGAGTACACCATTCAGCCCATAACACCCATGAAATAATAGTGTAATACCTCCTTGTCTTCCCTCAGCTGGGATCCTATTTCTATGAAACCATAGCCATGATATTTGTTTTTGGTTCCCTTTCTCTGGCATGAGAGCAGAGTGTAACTTTCTGGGAATAAATAGAAAGACAGCTCTGCATAATTTGAAAATTTCTCGGTGAATGTACTTAGTAAAAAGCTAACTTAAAAAAAAATATATATATATATATATATATATATAAAGAGAGAGAGAGAGAGAGAGAGAGAGGCTGAAAGAAGTGAAGGAAATATAGGACCTATCAATTTTTGCATTGGACATAGGAAAAATGTAAAAAACAATGTAGCTGACTTCATGAAAACTATGTTCGTTGAATAATCTAGGAGAGACCTGATTTTAGATTTTCTGCCTCACGGTCTTCATGAATTTGTTCATACTTGTCAGGATGCAGTCCCAGTTTAGGGCTTGGAATATACAGTCACCACACAGCAACTGTCTTAATTGGCTTATTCTGCTAAATTGTTTATTTGTGCGAGGAGGCTGTTCCAATCCCCGCCCCCACACCCCATCTGTGCAGAGGACTCTAATCTGGACTCGTCAATTGCCTGCTAAAAAGCACTGGTGTGATGTTCAACATACAGGGTTTGTTCAGTCTTTTTCTTGAGGTGATTCATCTAAGGTTTCCTTCCAGAAAACTCGAGTTTCCCTACCTGAAAATCCCATGTGAGTCCATCAACACATGCACGTGAAAACTGCGGTGCAATGACAGGAACCTACCTTGAGGTTTGGGCTTAGTCAGCTTGCCACAGGGCTTGGAGATGGTGACTGTCTTCTGGCAGTCCGCGTTGTGGAGGGCTCGCTTCAGACTTCCGGTTCTGGTCTTCAAGGCGGTATTCAGGTCGCATTCTCCCCAGGCCTGGAACTGGTATTTGCACTCCGCTAAAGGCAGGGTGGGACCAAACAGAAATCTTTGAGTTCCTCTAGTAGTGCTGTAAAGGTAGACGCACTTCTGTTTTTACCTTTTTGTAGTGAGATCATTGTAGAGTGCCATGCGGTTGAAAAAAATAATTTGGAGAGACCCCTATAGCCTTCGCCCTGTCTCCCCTCGATTGTGATTATGTTGCATAACCAGAATTCCTGAGCACAACCAGGAAATGAACAGGGATACATCCCGCAGAAGTCATTCAAGTTCTTCCAATTTCACACGCACTCATTTTGTGTGTACGCGTGCGCATTTAGTTCTGTGTGATGCGGTCAGGTCTGTAGATACGAGTGAACATCTACACGTTAACAGGCAGAAGAGTTCCAACACAACAGTCCTTTGGGTTAATCCTGTCATAGCCTTTGCCTAGGCACCTTCCTCCCTTGCCATCTCCTTAAGCCATGGCAATCACTCATCTCTTCTCCATCTCTGTAATTTTTGTCATTTTAAGCTATCTACTATTTGTGTACAAATTTTTAGAGGAATGTAAGTTTTCATTTCTCTAGGATAAATGGCCAAGAGTGAAACCACTGTGTTATATGGTAAACAGATGTTTATTCTTATTAAAAACAAAACCAAACCTGCCATTCTCCTTTCTAATGTGGTTGTACCATTTTACATTTCCATCAGCAAGGTATGAAGGACCTAGTTTCTCTACCTCCTCTCTAGCATTTGGTCTTATTTGTCATTTTAGCTCTTCTGGTACGTGGTATACGGTGACATCTCACTGGTTTTCATTCCCGTTTCCCTAGCGCGGAAGAGATAGATGTTCAACATCTTTCAAGTGTTTGTCACCTGTATCTCGTCTCTGGTAAAATATTTGTCCATGTCTTTTACTCACTGTATAACTGGATTCTTATTTTTGTGAGTTCTTTATATATTCTAGGCATTCATTCTTTAAGACACTTTTAAAAACTTTTTGTAGGTGAGTCTTTAGGGAACCCATATACAATTTAAGACCAAATGTATCTGAATTTCACCATGTGCTATAGAACTTACCAGCATTCACAAAAAGTACCCCAGAGGTTATAGAGAATGAGAAAGATACAGTATATATACTTGTTGTCCTTCTTTACTGTCTTATAGGTCAGAATACATTTCTGCAAAGAGTGAGAACATTTGGGGCACTGCATACCACCAAGGCCAAGAAAGACAAAAAGTCTGGAATGTGGAAAAGACAGGTAATCTGGGTGTTCAGTAGTGGGTTTCAAAGTTGGAAGTGTTGAAGGTTTCCTTCCCAAACAGGCAGCGGAGGCCAGCAGGAAAATGACAATAATTAGCGAGAGTAAAGTCTATGGAAACTGACTGTAAGCAGCCTGGCTAGATTTGATAAGCAAATCTATTAACCAGGGTGGATGGTGGGGAAAGATCAAAAGAGGGGGGACTGAAAGCCCCAGAAAGATGTCTGGAGAAGGAAGAGGAGAATAAATAAGAGAAGGGGGAAGGAAGAAAAAAGGAATGAGAACTAGAAGGAGAGAGAGGAGAAAAGACAGGTCAAGGCACACTCAGGAGGGATCAAGGTATGTTTTATGTCCCGATCGGTAGGACAGTGGTTCTCAATCTAGGACTATTTTGACCCCAAGGATCATCTGACAATATCTGGAGACATTTTTATGTGTCACAGTTGATGGGGGCAGAGAGTGCTACTGGAAACCAGTGGAGAGAAGCCAGAGACCCTGCTCGATATCCTACAATGCCCGGAACAATATCCTACAGTGCCCTCCCCAACAGACGCATCATGGCCCCAAATGGTAGTAGCACCAAAGTTGAGAAACCTGGGGGGTAAGGCAAGGTATCTGGTTATTTGTGATCTGATAAAATCAACTGATAAAATAAACGGTAGTCAAGCTCAAAAAGAGGACTGGTAGAAGAATGCAAGCATTATCCCAGAGTGGAAGACTAAATCTACAGGACAGTAGTGGTGGGGCTTACCTCCAAACTGCTTTTTCCAGTTGCAGGGGATCTTACATCTCTGGGTCTTCATGGTTTGCTTACATTCGGCTCCAGTCCGGGTGCCCTCCCGGGTGCCCAGGCCACAGTCCCCGCTGGTGGGCACGCACACACTCCACTGCCACTCCCCACAGTCGGACTTCTTCACTTTTTTTTCTGGAAAGAAGATAGGAACACGAGTCCACCTCTGGGAAACTCTGACTCCTACAACAAAGTTCATTCCAAGACGCCGTAATTGCGGGGTCTGTGCTTTTGACCTCTGTCTTCACTATCCAGTGAACCGGAGCACCTTGACCCACGTTAGCCAAGTGATCAAATCGGTGAATGATCACGAGAAGGAAGAAGGTGAACAGAAGGAGATAGAACTCATATTAGTGTAACTCCAGGGGCTAGGGACTGTACAAAGGATCTAATGACATCTCCTTTCAGAAGCAAACACTTCTGGTAAAGATGTTCAAAACCAGTGAAACATGAAAGATAAGGCGACATTCTTTTAGAAGTAAGGGTTGTCAGATTAGCATTTCATTGCAAGTCAATGTTCCCTTCTCTGTCTTAGAGCTGGAAGACCATAAGCTGAATGTCATGCCTCACAGACATAAACAGACTGCCAGCTCCACAGCCTGCCGCGTATGACGCTGGGAGTGACAGAGAGAAGATGCTGTATCACTCTGAGCTTCAGTTTCCCCCTTTGTTCATATGAGATAAAACAAAAATGCCCTGCAGGACTCCTTTTGGAGGAAGAGACTCAACGTAAGACACCTGCTTGCTCATCAGCAGTCCGTACATAAGGGCTACAATACGGTCATTATGTTAATAACCATCAGCTATATTTTAGGTCCTATGGCAGGGTGGGGACGGGGGATGTCACTTAGGTTCCTCTAAAGAAAGAACAAAGGGAGGGAGAGGGGGAGGGAAGGAAGAAAGAAGGAAAGAAGGATGGAGGGGAGGAGGACAAAAATCAGGCAGTTGGATTAGATGGACATTAATCCATGAACAGTCTTGCCTTATGTATGTCACATGTAGGATTATGTATGTCATATGTAGGGTTATGTAGTCATAACTCTACAGCTTACCTGGCTTCTCTTTCTTCCCTGCTTCAGCAGTGTCCACAGTTGCCAAGATGAAAATGAATGCCAGGAAGGCAGCTGCAAATTTTCGACGCTGTTGCACATACTGCTGGGACTGCATTCTAGGAATAAACAGAGAAACAGAAGGTGGTGTCAGCCTAAGAGAGGAAGGCTGGTGGAACTCCTTAATAAAGGGCGCCATGTTCCACTTCTGGAATAGATTTTCAGAAGATTTCTATCAGTGCTCTTGAGCAGAATTCTTTCTTTTCTCTCCCACGGCCACTGAAGTAAGTGTTCTTCTGCAATTAGGTATTCACTGACAAAAATACAATGGTTCTCCACTTAAGAACTTCACCCATAATTACTTGCTTAAGTATGACTCGAGAATTATGGACGCAAAAGAATTTTCATGGCATAATTCTGAGCGGACTCCTGCGGTTAATCTTGCTGGTGGGGATACATGGTAAGGTCCGTAACTATGGTCATCTTTGTAACTCCTGACAATTCCTAGAAACAACTGCGGTTTTGTAGTCCACATGGATAATTTGAATGGACACAGTTAATGGATTATCTGTGCCAGTATATGGTTTACCTTTATCTTTACATGTGTCATAATAACCAACATCTCTGACTTTGTTTTTCATGATTAAGATTATTTTATCATCACTGTTCCATTATTCACTGGTCCACCAAGAGGGAAGTGCAAGACAGAAGTTGGGCTAGCTCGCTTTGATTTATGTCAAATACATGTATAAGCTCACATAAAATCTAAAAATCTTCTCAATTTTAGGATAATGAAGAGATTACACTCACTCATAATTTGAAATTCTCCACATTTGCTATGAGTCAAAAATCCTAGAATAACATTAGAAAGACTCTCCTGGAACTTGAAGTCACTTGTGACAACTAATTGTCAGCATGGTTACCCATGGTCATTAGCTCTGAGGATTCTTTTTTTTTCCAGAAGAGTGATTTTAGATTCCCTTGAGTGTGAACAATAAAACCTCACGCACACACATGTGCACACACACACACAGAATTGAGATTATTCTGTTCTACAATTTATTGTAGAACAAAGTGTACTATAATGTGTACATTGTCCTCTGAGGATTCAGAAGTTCCCACTGAGAAAGCACAGCTCATGAGTAAACTTTCCAATTTCCCACACAATGGGCTGATCTTTGTAGAGCCTTGTAATGCCCTTGGAGCCGCGTGAAGAACCACGGTCACTCAGGCAAACGGGTATTAGTAGAAAGCTGTTGTCACTACTTCTAACCTCAGCATTTCTAGTTTTACACTGTTAAGTTCCTACTTTTATATTTATTTTCAAAAAGGTTTCAAGTTAAATTCACTGAATTCTGAGGAGAAAAACCCCACCCAGACCAGAATTTCCTAAGGATACCCTTGTTTTGAGTCAAGGGGTTATTTTGCCATAGTGTGAGCTAACAGGAAGGAAGAAGAGAGGGGAAATGGATGACAGCTGGAGAGTTGGAATGGAAACACACCCTCTCTGCTTCTGATATGAATTCGCAACAATTCAGAGCCTGAAGAAGTGGGATAATGGTAGACTTTAGTTTGAGACACACTAAGGAAAAATGCACCCAAGTCCCTGTGCACAGGAATTCGCCCGTGTAAAAGGAGCTACCAGCAATGGGGTTGAGTTGGAGACCATCTTTCTTTTCATCTCCTTTTCCCCTTCCTCCTACTTTGCTTACTATTCTGCATGGGCCTATATTTTGGTAGCTTCCATTTTTCTGGCTGGAGAAAATGAATAAAGATTATTTAAGAGAGTAAGGGGTTTTAGAAAAGGGAGGACTAGAATCATCCCCAAATTCAAGTGTTCCCAAACAATGCCCAATGTGCACGTTGACGCCTGCTGCTGTAGGAAATACTTGAGTAATTAGCACACATGTAGCTCACGAGTCCCCTGCTTGTGGTATTTGCATCGCTGATTGTTTATTTGTCCTTAGCATCAAGTAAAGGCAAAAGTTCTCTCTGCAAACAGTTTAACCCTGTCCGCTCTCCAGGGGTGTGTGAGATGAACGGACGCAAGGACCTGGATCATGGCGAATTGTTGGCACTGAGGGAAATAAAACAATGGAAGAAGGCTTGCTAAATCGGCTATTCTTTTGAATCATTTCCTTATTTTCACCTCCTCTTACCGCCATTTTTTGTTGCACTTGCCCTGATAGATTTAGTTTCATGGGGTTGAACCATCAACTGGAAAACTGCCATAGATGGTGGTGTGTCATAGATGGTGGTGTGTGGAAACTCCTGTTGAGTTCATCTCCATCACTAATAAGTCTAGAGCTCAGAGATCAAAGGAAATTAAAGTTTAAGAAACCAACTCAAAGGAGAAGAGTTAGTTTACAAAATCCTCATCCCTTCCCTAGAGAAAAAGCTGCTGAGAAGGAAAAAAGAGAGCTCTCCTTCCTTTAGCATTTTAACAGATCTAGAATTTTAAGAGGCGATCAAACTCTGGTGTAAACGCAAGACAAGAATCCTGGAATCGAACTGGCCCCTTAGCGATCTGTTTGGAAGGACGACCATGGGACCCAGAGGCGGAAATGTTGGATCAAACTTCAGCCTGACCACCTAATTTGGGGGATGTCCTTAGGCAAATCACAACCACTGGAACGTCTCTTTTGACATCTGCAAAGTGGGAGTGATTATAGCAACTGCTTGAGAGGCTTGCTGTGAAAATGAAGATGTAGACAGAGAGCCAACCCAGAATCTTAAGAAATGTATTATTAATTGCTGAATAAAGTTAATTCACCCTTACACTCTTATTACTTAGTACAAGGAAATACTTCTCTTCAATTTTTTAAATTGAGGTATATTGACACATAGCATTATATTAGTTTCGGGTGTACAACATACTGATTCAATATTTGTATTGCAAAACGATAATATTGCTCTCTATTGAGAAATAACAAGCATCACGCTTTGAACTAGCTAATATTATTTAAAAGCAAAACACAAAAGAATGAAACAAAAAAGAGAGAGAGAGAGGATTTGATTGTCCACTGAAGACTTGTTCAGCATCATCGGGGCACAAATTCATTCTGACCTTGGACTTCCTAGGTTAAAATAAACTCAAGGACCTTTATCCCCAGTATTTTTTTTGAAGTTCAGGGAAGTTGAGAGGTTCCACGTTGAGACTCAGGGAACATGCCAATGCAATTTAACTTGTATGAAATGGGGGAAAACAAAAATCTCCTGTTGCAACTGTATTTTATGTCCTCTGCGTGCAGAAACTGTGCCAGTCCCCTCTTTTTGTTTTAAATACCTAGGTCCGGGCCCCAGCCCAGAGTAGCTGCTCGGTCAACTTTTTGCTAGTGAAAAATATCTCCAAAACACAGCATCAAGCACAGGAATTAGTATGCATGCTCAACTGATTTTTCCATCCTTTGTCTATGCCAGGGGACATGAAATTTACTGAAGAAGCCGGGCTGGAGACAACAGCCAGAATCTAAAGCAGACAGACACAGTCAATGTCCACAAGCGTACATACTGCGTCATCAGTGAATGATCTGCACCATGTATTACACATCACTAGAACTTTCTAGACTTTTTGTGCTCTCTTTGCCCAAACTCCTGGGAAATAGTTTTTTTACTTTTATTGTAAAATAAAACACGACGTATAGAAAACCACACAAAGCAAACACACAACTTAGTGAATTATAAGATGAATTAATTTTCCACTCATATCCAAAGGCTTTACCATGCTCCCCATCACCATTAGAGCCCTGGAGCTCCAACACTAATAGGCCGCAATTCCTTCTTTGCACTTCCTGAGGCTTTTATTCGAGTGTGCTTCTTTAGACATGTCTAATTTTAAAAAAGGATATCTTTTACATTTCTTTTATTATGTAGGATTATCCTCTAGCTCCCCATTTTTCTTTCTTTTCCTGCTTTTCACTTTTTACAAGAACCAGGCCATTTAATCAGCAGTGGGCCACATTCTGGATTTTGATGATTGCAAATTCACGATGAATTTCAACATTCCTTTGTTCCGCTGCAAATCGGCAGCTGGGAGCAGAGGCTTAATCAGACTCAGGTGTTATCCCTTTGGCGAGACTGTAAGTGGCACCGTGCTACTTCACCAGGAGCTGCACCGTCTTTTTTTGGCTCTTCTGTGATGGGAACAGCAATGGGTACTACTCAGTGATTACTGGTGGGCTGGTATGGACTGAATATTTGTATCCCCCCCCCAAACTCATATGTTGAAGCCATACCCCTCCTCATCCGCATAATACTAGGAGGTGGGACCTTTGGGAGGGAATTAGGATCCAACGAGGTCATATGGGTAGGGCCCTCCTGAATGGGCTCTGTGCCCTTATGAAAATCCTAGGAGAGTTTTCTTTCTGTCTCTGCTCTCTGCCATGTGAGGATACAATGGCAAGCTAGCAGCCTATGACCCAGAACCCAACGATCCTGATACCCTGATCTCGGACTTTGAGCCTCCAGAACTGTAAAAAATGATAATAAAAATAATAAAAATCTACCCTGAGTGTTGCTTTAAACCTTGTCCCTTGGTTGTAGTTTTGTTATCAATCTACCCCCCCCCCATCTGTATTTATGTGAGGATTCAGGAAGATTCCAAAAATATCCTAATGCTTCCTTTCTCCCCACATGAGCACATTCTTTCATTAAACATTTTTGGGACACCTACCATATGCCAGCCATGGAGCTATACTCTCAGGATACAACAATGACCAGTGAGAAGTTTTTGTTTGTTCTCACAAAGCTTACACCCCAATAAAGTTTACACTGTCAAATAGCCAATAACGGTTCACTCTATTCTGGTAAGAACTACAGAATGTCATGATGTATGAGGGAAGGACCACTATTTTGCATTTCTCTTTCTTGAGGGCAAACCAAAGACAGGGATTCAGTTAAGGCCAAAGATTTAATTTCCTTTAAGTTTCCTACAAAGCAAACGAAGCCACTGATGGTCAGAAATTCTGTTATGGAGCATGAACTATGACTCATGTTCTAGATGACCGCAGTCATAGACATTTTTAAATGTCTGTGTTCTCTTATTTCTCAGAAGTGACTTTAATTTAGTTTGAGGGAGATCGGTCAGCTTGTATTATTAGGAAGGTACTCACTTGGTTA